CCCTGCTGGCCATCTTGTAACGGCCATTTTGTGGTGGCCATCTTGTGGCGACGTTGCACATGACGCCACCTAGGCTTTTATTATATAGGATTTCAAGAGAGGAAGGGAGAGGAATGGAGAGATAGAAACATCAATAATGAAAGAGAATCATCAATCAGCTGCCCCTTGCACACCCCCCACACTCCCCCACCGGGGACCGAGTTCACAAGCTGGGCATGTGCCCTGATTGGGAATTGGACCGTGACCTCCTGGTTCATAGGTCGGTGCAGAGTCACACTGGCTGGGCATGGACCCTTTTCTTTAAGAACATATTCATAAGCCATTCCAGGGGGAAATCATGTAGCTCAGAAGAAGACATTGAAAACAGATATAATCTCTTAGGCTTTGGCCACAGAAACCGGCAGAGCTAATTCCTTGTTTAATCATCAGCTAAGTGAAGTGATTCTTTGTGGGCCTTACCTGGGTTTCTGCTGCGGCTGGGAGTTCGGGTGTCACTGCCTGGCCTCGCCTGCCTGGCCGCGCCTGCCTGGCCTGGCTCCTCTGACTTCCTCATGTCTTTCACCACCCATTTCTTCCACCTGGACTTGTCTGCCTGGATGATGTGATTCAAAGGATCTGTCAGCCCATGGAGGGAGGCAGCTCCCAGCAGCAGGAGGGACACGGAGCAGACAAAGGGAGGAACCAGTGTCCACTCCCTCTGGTCGCACTCTGGATGGACAGCTGCTGGGGCAGGTGGTGCTCGCCAGCTTTCCTGCACAGCTGTCGCTCTTCAGGGCATGGGTTTCTCAGGTGTCTCACTCAGTGCTCCCAGCCCCAATGCGTTGCCTGCTCCTGGGTGGGTTTCTCTAAGAGACCACGGGGAGAAGAAGGTGGAAACACCAACTTGAAAATGACATATGTACACTCATCATATACCCTGATGCATTTCCACATAATTTATCTATAAGATGGAGGGGCTGGAGGACTGTGTGTGCATATAGAGCATGAGTTTCATAATCTGTGAAATGGGAACGGTCACCCAGAGTTGTCGGGGAGCAGATGAATTACAGTGCATACGGCAGCGCTATAATCAACTGAGAAGCGATGTTAGAACACAAGGTGCTTGTTCTTATTTCACAGCACTACTGACAGGACAACCTGCCCACAGAACTTCTGCAAAGACAGACTGGTTCTGTCTGCACTGTCCACTGCGAGAGCCTCTAGCCCAGTGATGGCGAACCTTTTGAGCTCGGCGTGTCAGCATTTTGAAAAACCCTAACTTAACTCTGGTGCCGTGTCACATATAGAAATTTTTTGATATTTGCAACCATAGTAAAACAAAGACTTATATTTTTGATATTTATTTTATATATTTAAATGCCATTTAACAAAGAAAAATCAACCAAAAAAATGAGTTCACGTGTCACCTCTGACACGCGTGTCATAGGTTCACCATCACTGTCTCTAGACTCTTAATAGGTTAAGAGAAAGATAGCATCTGAAAGATTTGGTGTCTAGACTAAATTAAACCTAATGTATTTTGTGAAGAAAATATTTTATACTTTATACTTGGTTCAGAATCTTATCTTATTTAATTTTGTTCTGTCCTTTGGCAATTAACTACTTCTGAAATACAAAATTATTTTTTATATTTATATTCTATTGTTTCCAGCAAAAGATGTCCTTCTTCCCATCATGATTTTAAGCACTGTTTTATGAGAATTTCTAAATTCTAGACTTTAGAACACCAAATGCCAGCAGAAGGACATGAAGCATTTCTTGTTCATCACTCATGTTTCCTTCTTCGTAAAAATGTGTTGTGTGCAGGCTCCTCTTTCTCTAGTACAGGCATGGACATGACACGAAATGCTAATGCAGCGGTTCTCAACCTGTGGGTCAAGACCCCTTTGGCGGTCGAATGACCCTTTCACAGGGGTCGCCTAAGACCATCCTGCATATCAGATGTTTACATTGCGATTCATAACAGTAGCAACATTACAGTTATGAAGTAGCAACGAAAATAATTTTATGGTTGGGTCACAACATGGGGAACTGTATTTAAAGGGCCAGAAGGTTGAGAACCACTGTGCTAATGGAAAACCTCTCAGCACATAAAACAAATGTTTGCTTGGTGCCTGCCACGGGCCAGGCCCTGGTGACATGTCAGTGAGGGGCAGAGCCCCCAGCCCCGGTGAACCCGGCTCTGTGACAGTTAGGAACACGTACCGAGCACCCTGTGTGCCGAGCACTACCTTGTCTGCTTTGGGTAGAGTATGCTCGTCACTCCCGAGAACAGCTCCAGGAGGCGGAAGCAAGGGCCAGCTTTGCGGGGACACCAGCTCCGTGGCCCTCGCTGTACTGTGCCGAGCCTGTGCGGGTGGCTGGAGGAGGGAGGTCAGGAGGGAAGAACTGAGGCTGCCTTCCCTCATTTCCAGCCTAAGCAGCTGGGTCCTTGGTGGTGCCGTTTGCTAAGATAAATGTGAATAAAGATGACCAGGAGCTCCCTGTGGTGCAGGCTGATGGTGAGATGTTGGTTGTTTTGTTCAGGTTCCTAATAGGATATAGGTGGTCCACTCAAATAAAAATGGTTTCAGGAAGGTGTGGACTACAGAGGACTAATTACAAAGGAGGGAGCCAGGGCCAGGGGCCCCTACAGCTGGTGCAGGGTGGTGCACGGGCCTGAGGCTGGGGTGCTCCTGTGGGAGCTGCCAGGGATGGCAGGTGGGGGACGCTCCACCTCGGGTTCCCAGGGGGCAGGAGTGCCTTGTGGGGCAGCCCACCCCGGGCGCTTGGGCCAGAGTGGAGAGGGCCTCTGTGGAGAAGTGTCGGCTCCCATCGCACCCAGACAGTGGAGACCCGTGGGTGCGGATGCAGTTGACACCTCGTCTGCATTCGGAGAGGCCAGGCTGGGTCGGACCTGGCGGTATCAGCTGTAGGTGAGCATTTAGCACCTCAGGTCCAGCCAGGCTATCTTCTCCGGCTGCAGCACCACTAGCGGGAGAACCCAAGCGGGGCCCTGCTCCGAGGCCGGCGTTCCTCATGCGCTTCCTTCTCGTTGTCTCCGGCCTCCTCTCCTCCAGACTAAAGTGAAGACAGAGTTGCTTTAAAAGAGCTGCAGCCCAGGGTTCTTCCTGTATTTCTTGTCTTGCCTGGCCCACTCATACTCCCTGATGCTTTTCCAAAACTCCTACATCAAGGTGTCGTTTGGGGTTTTCTCAATCCTGCTGAGTCAGAAGACTGGCAGACAGGGGGACCCACAGATGGTCTGTTACAGACTCTGCCTCTGTTTGGCCTGGAGAAATTAGAATGAAGTCTCTTTACTGTGTCTGCTTGTCTTTGACGGCATGGAAGCAGTTTGAAGCGCTTTGTCTTGCGTTCTTGGTGCATTTTCTCAGGCTGAGCTCCTGCCCACCACAGGTTCATTGCTGAAGAGGCCGCGGCTGCGGGGGCCAAGTGCGTGCTCACCCCCAGCCCCACCTGGATTATCGACCCCATTGACGGCACCTGCAACTTTGTGCACAGGTGAGCATCAGCACGGGTCACCCCGTTCTCCTGCCTAAACTGCCCTCTTCTCTAAGACTTTGTCTTTCCCAAAGCAGCAGTTTTGGGGGCAGGAGTACATGAGCAAACCTCTAATAGGCTTATAGTCTTATTTAAAAGGTGATCAAGTCTTGATTGTTTTGCTTTGTTTTGTTAATCCTCACTTGAAGATATTTTTCCATTAATTTATTTTTTTTAGAGAGTGGAAGGGAGGGAGGGAGCAGGGGAGAGAGAGAGACACACATTGATGTGAGAGAGACAAATCAAGAGGTTGCCTCCCAAATGCACTGCTATCAGGGCCTGGGATTGAACCTGCAACCCAGATACAGTCCCTTGACCAGGAATTGAATCCATAACCCTTCAGTGCGCGGGCCGACACTGCTGTGTTTACAATATTGGGTTAAATTTAAAAGGCCCCCTGGAGAAGCAAACAGGGTTGGAAAGCAAGTGTATACAACCCAGCAGCTGCCAAGGGCATGAGGTGTGGGCAGGGGCACGTCAGGGTGGCCTTCCGCAGCTGCAGTTGGAGTAGGAGCAAACCTCATGTCGCCATGCGATGGGATGAGGAACCCGTTAGAAGCTGGTCGGCGCTAATCTGACTGGACCAACAACAGCCAGAGAGCAGTAGGTTGTGGGGAGGTCAGTGGGGCCGGTGGGGGTAGGGGCGGGGAAGTGAGCCACAGAGCCTGGGGGGGTGATGCGGACGTGGTCCCGTGCTGGACTGTACCCACTTGTCCAGGACTGAGGGCACTAACAGGGATGTGGTTTCCACAGAGGGTGGTTCTCCGATGGGAGCACTCATAGAGCCCCGGATTGCTGGTTGGCACAGGCTCCTGGCCCGTGCCCCGGTCCCCACTCAGTAGGTTGGGCATCCCGTGGATCTGCATTCCTGGACCATACTTGGAGAGCCCCTGTCATAGATGACACAGACGCTCCATTTCCTCATGTAACGTGATAAAGCGTGAGCTCAGCCAGATGATGGGGTCCTGGCTCTTGTCACTGTCCCCTGATGTGTTGCCACAAACAGTATGTTTATATGTAAGTCGGTAAACTACTTCCGATGTAGCGTGTTACTCACCACCCTTTTCTAAATGTGGTTTCTCTTCAGAATTCAGTCAGTCGTGCCCATACAGCTGACCCTTTCAAGGCAACTGAATAGTGCCATCTGGTGATAGCAGCAGTGTCACTAGACTATCAGTTTAACTAAAGCCTGACACCCCCTGGGAAGTTGCTGAGGCCTCACAGGGCTCCCCCCTTAGGTGTGTTTGCTGAGGGGAGCACCGGTTCCTCCTGTCTCGCTTGCCATTCTATGTGCGGTAGTGGGGACAGGGCGGCTGAGCCCTGGGGTGTGGCAAAGGCCACAGGTCCACAGGGCCAAGGGCCAAGGGGAACTGGGGCCAGAGAGACGACTTGGAGAGCATCATCCGAGGAGAAGCTGTGGTGCTGACCCCTATGGTTCCAGAGCTCCGAGGGCCACGGCCACGCATCTCATGGCCTGGACACCCGAAGCCTCTGGCCTCTGCAGATCAATAGGACCTGTTGGTCCTTATGTCCGGCGGTGGCAGTGTCGCGACTAAAGCGCCCGGGAGACAGCTCCTCTGAGAGTGGGAACTGAGGCCGAGCCTGGCTGAGGTCGCTCAGGGAGCCGGCCACCAACGACAGTGTCGCTCGGCCCCCGCCTCGGCAGGCAGCGCCCAGATCCGTGTGTGACTGGTTTCGTGTGGATTAGCTGAACCCAGCCTTTCCTTGTTCCTACTTGTTGTTAAGCTCTGATGATCTTCACATAAAGGAGAGATTATTTTAAAGACACGGAGTAGCAACAACGAAGTCACAACATAAAACCACAGGCCAACTGCATCGTCAGAGCCAGCCTTCCACCCCTGTGGCCCATGCCTGCTCGGGGGCTCACATGAGAGACGGGGTGAGGAGGGCTGTTGTCACCCAGACCCAACCTCTGGGTGGAGGCTGTGGCCTGGGCCTGTGCTGTTGCCTCCTGGGGGCCCTCGTCACGCCGCCTCGGGCATGGTCTGGCCTTTTTGGAGGTCTCGGCCGTCCCTTTAGGTCTCTGAGAACCAGGAAGGTGGTGATTACAATCCCTCTCCATCGGGTCCTTGGTCCTTGTTGAATCCCATCAGTTTGACATGTCTCAGAAGACTGCTTCCCTTCAAGGTCAGCTATCTTACCCCATGGGCGGCTAAGCCTGTTTGTCTTGGAAGCCGTTAGTGAAATGGGGGGGAAGCAGCTTTTAAAAAAACAGACCCACCCGCGCTGTAGAAAGGCCCTTCTGTGCCTCGACGTGCGACGCCGCGCAGCCACACAGAGGCTCCTAAGTGCCGCGTGCTGGTTTGCAAGAGGCCAGCGCGTCTCAGAGGGTAGCCATTCTGTTTCCTTCGCAGATTTCCAACCGTGGCCGTCAGCATCGGATTTGCTGTGAACCAAGAGGTACGTGAACCAAGAAGGCCCGGCCCCTGCCCTGTGGGCCCCCAGGGCTCCAGTCCAGGTTTCATTGAGTCATCTTCCTTTTTGGTTTCAGCCTCTGCACTCCTGTTTTTCTCTCTTTGTCCTGGGCCTTAATCATGACTAGTAAATCCAAGCATGTGTTTTTCAAATCTGAGAAAACAAGCGAACGCAAACCAGTTGGGGGTGTGCTGCTTGGGGCTCTGTGGCCGGCCCTGATTTCACTGTGGTCTTTTTCTGATGTGACCGTGGAAGGGGACGCTCTGAGCAAATTGTCCAAGTTGGTCTCCCGGTGACCCCTGGGGCGTGTGATTTAGACACACACAAAAAGAACTCCTATTTTTGGAGGACATTTTTAATCCCAATATTCCATTAATTCTTCTGTATCTTCCTCTAGCTGTCAGTGTGAGAACGGGGCTGTTTCAGGGTTCCCAGAGACCCTGGGGGCCAAGCAGCATCAGAGGCGTGGGATCAAGGCTTCAACTGTATCAATCAGTTTAAGCAATGACACTTAGAAAAGCCCTACCTTCTTTGTAGTCACTACAGTCAGATTTAAATAAGGCCGGGGCTGTGTTCTTCAAAAGCAGCCCTCCTTTGGAACACCATTTTTTTTTTATCTTAATCCTCCGCGTTAGCATAGCTTCCCTAGCGTGGAAACGGGGGGAACTTTACACCCGTGTAAAAGCACTTACGTTGAAGATAAACAAGATTTTCAATATCAACATTTGGGTAAGGAGTTAATTACTCACTTGTCTCTATTGAATGTGGCCACTGAACCGAGTAGGGTGTTGAGCAATCACCTCAGGGAGGGCAAGGTGCTTCGTGCTGGCAGGTTGCCGTGTCCGTATCTGAGGGAGGGCAAGGTGCTTCCTGCTGGCAAGGTTGCCACTGGCGAGGCCCACACCCCGTGATGGGTCTGGCGTGTGTGACTGCGCACAGGTGGTCTGGGCTTGTAGTGGAGGGCCCTGGGCAAGGGGAGCGTCCCCCTCTCCCTCCTCGTTCCCTGTTTGCCCCAGGGGTGCAGGGCCCCCACCACAGGCTCCCCAAGTCCAGCCCCGTTCGAGGACCGACCTGAATCTGGGAAGCCCTTTAAAGGCAGGGTAGTGGAGCCGGGAGCATGTGAGGATTGCTGGAAGGCTGGAGCCCTCGGTAAGCGCTGGCTGAACCATCCTCCCAGCAACAAACCCGATGCCTGCAGGTCGGGGAGCCCTTTCCACTGCAGTCCCGCTCAGCCCGGGCGGCCAGATGGTCCTGGGGCCTTTGGCCTGGGTCTCCCATTTGCCAAAGAGAGGAATACTTGGCTAACCCCGAGCGAGCACACTTGCGCTGTTCACCCTGACTAGTGAGAAGTCAGTAGAGGAAAGGCACAGAGCACTTGGTGTCAGGTGGCATTTGTTCATGCCAATTCTTTTTACCACCCCTGATTGGCCGCGGCCTGCTCACTGATTGACGGCAGTGTGGCCGCTGGCTGGTGCTCGCCGCTCAGGGACGAGCCCCCTGATGAGGCACGTCTGTCTTCCTGGGACTGCCCTTGGGTTCTGTGATTCTGTTGGCATTACAGATGCATTCTTCATTCTTCATTCTTCACACATCAGCAGTTTTGAGGGTTACATGTGGTTTGATTAGAGTCACAAGTAATCTCCCACCATCCCTGGGGGAGAAAAAAGCCTTTCTAAAGAATTCAGCTTTTTCAATAACTTTCAGGTACTAATGCTTCATTATGTTAAGGTTTAATATAGTTTTTTTAGTTTTAGTATATATATATATATATAGAGAGAGAGAGAGAGAGAGAGAGAGAGAGAGAGAGAGAGAGAAGAAGAAGGAAGAGGGAGAAAAAGATACAAACATCAGTGAGGAGAGAATTATTATTGATTGGCTGCCTCCTGCATGTCCCCTACTGGGGATCAAGCCCGCAACCTGGGCATGTGCCCTTGACCAGAATCGAACCTGGGACCCTTCAGTCCACAGGCTGACACTTAATCCACTGAGCCAAACCAGCCAGGGCGGTATATTTTTAAATGTAGTAATTTTTTAAAAGAAAGCCTGCTTCCAAGCAGGTCTAGTTTTGAATCTAAGTGCTGCTTTTTAATTCCCTTTTGGAAAGTATTTTCTAGCACATCGTCATTGCATTCGTCAGAACACTTAGAACGCCTTCGCCTTTGAGTTGCTGTGCTGTTTTCTATCTGCATTAGGTGAACTTGTTTTCTGCCCTGCCCACAGCTTGAGTTTGGAGTGATTTACCACTGCACAGAGGAGCGGCTGTACACGGGCCGGAGGGGCCAGGGCGCCTTCTGCAATGGCCAGCGGCTGCAGGTCTCCGGGGAGACAGGTGGGCCTTCGCGGCGTGTCTCAGTTCCCTTCGGACGGAGACATGTCAATGGAAAATGCCTGGGACGGTGGTGGACATCTCCTGCCGAGAGCTCAATCTCTTCTTAGGGACGCCGTGTCCCTGATGAACTGGAAACTGAGCCAGTTCTGTATCTTAATGTTTTTGTGAATGTGGCCAGGAGCTTTAAATAGTCTCATTCTATTTTATACTCACATCTTTCATCCTGAATGCTTAGAGACACCCTCCTTAGTTATGAGTGGGTCTCTAGCAGTCCAATGCCATGGGCAGAGCCAGAAGCATGCTCAGGTACATGTCAGCCATCATATGCCACCTGGCTGTGGACTGAGTGGAGCTGGCTTCAGTTTCTGAGGGAAGTCGTGTGCATAAGTGATGTTTTCACTCACCACAGGTGTTCCCCTGTCATTGTTACTCCTTAAGCAGAACCTCGAGGGCACCCAGCTCTCATTCAGGGACTGTGTTATACTTAATCTGCATGTTACCACGTATCAAGCACAATATGCTGCTTTAGATGTTTTGTTGACTCTTTTTGGCCTTTCTCTCTGATTAAACTGTAATATTTTAGCATTTTGTAGGAAGATACTGTCGGGGAGAAAATTGCAAGACAAGGAAAGAGCTGAGCCTGAGGCTAGGAGCAGGTGGATTAGGAGCAGACTTTAAAGGGTCCATAATGAAGAGAGCACAGTTCCTGCTCACTTCTCACTCACATGTTCTGCAGCAGGACATCATAAGGTGCCCCCACCCCCCACCCTCCGTTATTCCACTTGCCCGTCACGGCTTCAGTTTATGGCGCCCACACTCCTCCTCTGAGCTCCCTCTCCCTCCTCACTGCCTCCCTTCTCTACCCTTTTCCAGCTTCTCTTAAAAATGTCTTTCCTTGTGCCCTTTCTCCATTGTCTCTATTATTCTGTCTTTATTCCTCCTTGGATGACACCTGTGTGCCCAGATGGCCTCAGAGGCACTGAGAGGACCAAGAGGTGCCCTGCCCTCCTCTAGTAAGGAAGTGAGGCTCTCCAGCGTGCTCCACGACGAGCCGGTGAGAGCAGCGTCCCCTGCGTTGTTAATTTCTTGCATTTGGGTTTCTACAGCCAAAGGTGTTGACCAGGTGCCAGGAGGTGTTTGCTTCGGCACAGACTCCTCCTCACGGTGCCAGGGCCCCTGAGCAGCTGGTCTGTTGGGGAGGTGACCTGTCGTTGTGTGAAGGACAGGCTGGAGCAGGGCTGCCTTGGGCAGTCTGAGGAGGCTCCCCGCTGGGGGCGCCCATGGGAGTCACGAGCGCACCCAGGGTGAGGGGCCGGGGAGCCGGTCACAAGAGGCTCAGACAGGCAGGGGCAGCAGAACACACTAACCAGTTACCGCCTGAGTGCCAGCCCCGCCCCATGCCTCCCTCTCCCAGAAATGTTTTGTTTGGCTGAGTAAAAAGTGGCGTTAATTACAGCCACACATGCCAAGAGGCAACCACTCAAGCTGAATTGTGTAACTCAGTAGTGAGAAAGCATGTTATTAAACACACTTATGTGACCTTTGCTCTACATTTTATTTGATTATCTAACACTCCACGCCATTCACACACACTCGGCCTCCTGGTCGGCTGCCTGCGTCGCTCCGTAGTGCAGCATCTTCAGTGGGGCTCTCAGGCCATGGCCCAGCCCTGCTCATCCCTCCCAGTGGGCAGGGGCTTAGGGTCACACTGTATTTGGCCCATCATAGGCCCTTTGGTCCCAGACTGCCCTCGCTCACTGTCATAAGCCCTCCGTGGCTGCACACATGTTCCAAAGCTCTTTTGTGATTTTTTTTTCCAAAAAAAAATTCTGATTTATAAAGTCTAGTGTGTGTGTCAACTTGGTCGGTTTCTGTTTGATGGACGACAAGGTTTCTATGGGAGGGGATGGAGTGTACGCTCCAGCAGCACTGTCTTAGGTGTTGTGCAGGCCTGATTTCACATCCTGAATCTGCCACCTTCTAATGCTGTGACCTGAAACCTTGTCTTCATGTATAAAGTGGGGTGATGATGATGAAAACTTGGAAGGTTAAAGAAAATTATATATAGAAAGCACTCAACAAAGTCCCTGGCACATAGTACCCAAAAATAAGAGTCATTATCAAAGGAGAAACTTGAGTCTTCACACAAGATCAGTTATAGCCCGTTGCTGAAATAGATGCATTTCTGAAGGAAACAGCCATTAAAACAACCACCACTTAACTTTCCCCCTGTGCTTTCTTTGCCTTCTCTTTTTCAATTCCTATTAAACCTTTCTGGAATGTCTTCAATTCACAAAAACAAAAAACAAAAAAGCTACACTGGTTAGGGGTAAAGGATTAAAGGCCAGAATTTTATTAGTAGCTTTTTTCTTCAAATTGTACCAGGCAAAATTTCAAACATGTGCAAAGCAGACAGAAAAAGTACAATGAACCCACATGACCCACCACACAACTCCAAAATTGCCAACTCATGGCCAATTTTGCTTCATCCACACCCCTACCCAACTCCCAGCACCCCAACAACTCCCTGATTCAAATCCCAGGCGTGACAGCACTTTCTAGCCAGTATATCAGTATGGCTCTCTAAAACATACAGACAGTTCTTTAAAAAACATAATCACAATACCAATCTCACCCCCTTCTAAAATCATAAGCTATCCAGTCAGGGTTCAAATTTCCACTTTTATCATCTATGGAAAAGGGCCTTTCGGAGCCACAGTCTGGAGTCTAGAGGTCGTTGTAGATCCTGGATCTGTGTTTTCAGTGGACAGAGCTAGGGAATGAGTTGTTTGTAATATGAAATTCATCATGAGTCCATACTGATGTGCCCCATTCAAATTCATGACTACATGGTTCTCTAACTCTTCTATGTATGTCTACTCGACCCCATGCTGAAAACCCTAGTGCACAGTGATACCAGGAATTTAATAATATCTGCAATCCTTGTTCGCTTTATCCCACAACACACACATACCAGTTTCAGAAAAATAATACTAGCCCTTCTATTAACAAATGATTCCCGAGCCTGGCCGATGTGGCTCAAAGTTTAGCTTCTATCCTTCCTTGTCCTTTTTACCCTATAGATAACCATTAAAAAAATTTAAGTTTATTGTTCCATTGTTTATTTTGGTATGTTATTAAAAACAAGCAGCTGTTTTATTTGCTTTGATTCTGTTTCCATATAATTTCTGGTATTTAGAAAGGTTTATTCAGGGGTCCTCAAACTACGGCCCACGGGCCACATGCGGCCCGCCGAAAACATTTATCCGGCCCGCCGAGTGTTTTTGCCGCCGCTGCCTGTTGCTTAGCAGCCGACTAGTTTTTTTTTTTAAATATAGTCCGGCCCTCCAACAGTCTGAGGGACAGTGAACTGGCCCCCTGTTTAAAAAGTTTGAGGACCCCTGGTTTATATGATTATTCTAATAATTCTCTTTATATTAAAGTTTTTATATAATATTCCTAGTCCTCTCTTTTTGGGGTTGTTGTCTGTTACTTCCCTATTATCAATAAGGCAAATAATGTCTTAGTATTATAATGAAATTTGTTTTAACTTCACAGATTTCTAAAAGAAACACAGGGACCACACTTGAGAACTACTCCAATTGATTTCTCAGGAAGGACTATGGGAACAATATTCCAGGAGTTCTTACATGTTCATAAGTTTATCAGTGGCCATTATACTTGAAAATCCATTTTTCTGGTAGTAAAACACATGGCTCCCATTTTCTTGTGTTGAATGCCTTAAATTGTCTCCATCATCTTCTAGCATAAGCACATTACTGAAAAGTCTGAAGACAGTTTTTCTTTCCCTTATAAGGACTTTAGTTTTTTACTTGAATGCCCAACATATGATATTTTGTCTTTATAGTACAGTAATTTTAATAAAGTGTTGTTTCTTCTGAGTCTGTTTTCCTAGGTACATGGAATGCCCTTTCAATATATAATTTCAAGTTCTTTTTAAAAAAAAATCATCAAAGTTATTATCTTGAACTATAGTTTTTAGCATTTTTTTTATTTCCCAATTCAGTTGCTTTTCTTGAATTATAGTTTTTAGCATATTTTTATTTCCCAATTCAGTTGCTTTTTTTCCTTTCTTCCTTCCTTCCTTTCTTTTTATTTACTTAACTTTTTTTTGGTCTTCAGGGTCTCTTATTATATGTATGTTGGGTCTTCTCTGCTTGTCTGTATGTCATTTTCTTTTGAATCCTTTTTACCTTTCCACCAACTTTTAAAATCTCTTTTTCATCCTTTATTTTTTGTAAAGCATGATACATTGGGTTTATTCATTCTCTATTTCTTTAGTTTTATCTTCTCATCTGAAATGTTTTCTGATTCTTTCCTAAGTTATATCCCCTCTACTTTTGAGTTATGCTGTTCTTTCATATATTCTTTATTTCTTTTTTAAATTTTTATTTTTCAATTACAGTTGATACTCAATATTAAATTATTTTTTTTACATAAAGCTATTTTTGTTTGTGGGCACATCTTTCTGACATTCTTTGATTGACTGGAGAGATGTCTTTCTGCCCTGATTCTTTTTCCTTATGACAATGACAGTTGTGTGTGGGATTCAACCATCATTCGTTTACTTTTACTTTGTTCTACTAGAAATCTGTATTCCTGAACTCGGGGAGAGGGAGCGTGTCAAGATAGTTTTTGTATTTTCACAGCTCTAGAGCTCCCTCTTCTGTTTTTGTGACCTGTTAAAAAACATTGGCCTTGTTCTTAGATTTTTTTTCCTTTTGGGGGGTGTGGGGGGGGCTCTGTTTCCCTCCTTCACTGTTATCTGGATCATCTTTTTTCTTTGCCTCTGTTATCCTATCTAGTGAGTTTGGAGTTCACATACATTTCTACTCAGAACCTGCCCTACCAGGCCCTGGTTATAAGAGGTCATAGAGCTGATTGGCTCCCTACCTTCAGACTTTCCCCCACATCCTATACCAGGGACTCATGAATTGATGTGTGCACAGCTCCGCTCACGTTGACCCAAGCTGGCTTCCAGTGAGTGGCTCTTGGTGACTTTGAGGTTCTCCTGTTCTCAGGTCTAGTAGGTGCTCGATTCTTCTCTCTTCCTCCTGGTGTTGCGATGCCACAAGGTCTTATAGCTACTGGAGATTTGCTCTACCCATTGTATTTTGGGGTTTGGATATACCTTGACAATATAGTTTTTTGCATTTTTTTAAAAATATATTTTATTGATTTTTCACAGAGAGGAAGGGAGAGGAATAGAGAGTCAGAAACATCGATGAGAGAGAAACATTGACCAGCTGCCTCCTGCACGCCCCCCACTGGGGATGTGCCCGCAACCAAGGCACATGCCCTTGACTGGAATCGAACCCAGGACCCTCCAGTCTGCAGGCCAACGCTCTATCCACTGAGCCAAACCGGTCAGGGCTGCAATTTTTTGTTTATTTGTTGTTTGTTTTTATTTTGGTAAATGATGCCTATAGTTTTGTTTTCACTCTGCTAGTTCTGTCTGTTTTTATCAGAGAGGGGTTGTAGAGATTAAAATCTTTGTGGTTGTTGCATAGATTTCCAATTCTAAACAATACTTTTTATTTCCAAATTACTTATTTGTGATTTGTTTGTTTGTTTGTTTGTTTTTTACTTGTTTGAGGGCAAAAAATAATTTACTGAGGTGAAAGTCAAATAACATAAAATTAACCACTTTAAAGTGAACAGTTCAGTGGCAGTACATTCGCAGTGCTGCGCATTTGCACTCTCCAAGGTAAATCCATTAAGCACTCTCTCCCCCACACCTCCTCTGCCCACCTCCACTCCCAACCACCAATCTTCATTCTTAGTACTTATGTTTCTAACTTAAATAAAGTTAAATATTATTTTCATGTGAATAGCTCATAATGGTCTATAAGAGGCCTGAGAGAATTAGGACATGTATTAAAAACACATGCTGGTGTAAGTGTTGTTTCAGGAATTCTACGTTCAGCAAAACCAGCCAGAGCCCAGAGAGGATATTTTCCGGACTTAAAGCGCAGGCGCCTCATTCTCCATGAGTACATATTTCAATGTATACACACAACTTGCTTCGCTTGCCTTTAAATTGTAAAATTTATCTTAAGACAAGTACTCTTTGATACTCTGGGTATTTTTAACTTTGCTCCACTAGAAAAGGGTTTCAAACTGTCAGAAGTCATGAACTATATTTTTTCACCCTAAATAAAATCTGTTTTTTGAAAGATTATACAGAGATGCCCTACTTAAAATCTATTAGGTGTTTTTTTAATTGGGGTAAAATATATAACATAAAATTAGCCATTGTAGCCATTTATAAGTGTATACTTTAGTGGTATTAATTACATTCACAATGTTGTGCAACCATTACCACTATCTGTTTCCAAAACTTTTATCACTACAACTAGAAACTCTGTACCCATTAAGCTGTAGCTCTCCATTCCCAACACACACACACACACACACACACACACCCATGAAGACACAGAATATTTTAAATTAAAAATGTAATTAGCATTGATTAAAAACTAAAATATAAATATTGGATAAATAATAATAAAATTCAAAAATCATAGTACTTTAGATAATCAGGAATAATCATAATATAAGAAGATATTAAGTAGAAGGGACTTGTAATTTTTACCATTTTCCTTACCTAGGACCAAATAAAACAGTAGAGAGCATTTTGCCTGTAGGTGGCAGCACTCAGACTTCCTTTTTACTCTTGTGATTTCATTTGGGAAAAAATATATTAGCAAGAGTGAGAAAGAATAGATACATTGCAGCTAGAAGAGGATACAGAAATATCTTTTTACAAATTTAAAACTATGGAAAGAAACCCCTTCACCAGGCAAGCTTGAGTTTAAGTCTGGGCCTTACCACTAAGGCAGTGATGGCGAACCTATGACACGCGTGTCAGAGGTGACACCCGAACTCATTTTTTTGGTTGATTTTTCTTTGTTAAATGGCATTTAAATATATAAATTAAATATCAAAAATATAAGTCTTTGTTTTTTTTTTGTTTTTTTTTTTTGACTTAATCACTTTATTCCCACTAAAATGTAGGCTTCATGAGAGCAGGGGCTTCTGTGTCTTGGCCCTTCCTGTGTCCACAGTGCCCTGCACACAGTAGGCACTCAATAGCCACTCGGTGAAAAAATGAGAGGAGCTGGACTTGGGAAACAATAATACCTGTCTTGCATAGTTTCTAACTGATTCATGGATTTGTTACATATATGGAAAGAAACCCCTTCTTTCACGTATCACCAGGCAAGCTTGAGTTTAAGTCTGGGCCTTACCACTAAGGGCTACCTGACCTCATGCAGGTCCCTTCTCTAAGCTTGGTCTCCCAGCTGTGAACAAGGACAGTGAGACAGCGAATGTGATGGAGGACGGAGCGCACACATGGAAGTGTCTAGAAGAGAGTAAGACGTGAGCGATTGCTGTTCCCACACTGTGCTTAGTTTCCCTTGTGAAATAGCCCAAGCGCACTTAGTTTGAAAATCCCTGCTTTTCCTCACCAGCCCTGCAGTGGGGTATCTGCTTGTCTAGGCTGACACTCGAGGACGTTCCTCTCCATTCACCCTACAGCCAGGCCCTCCTTCTGATAAGGACATATTGGGCCAGGCCTTGGCCTAACGGAGTAGTCACATCGTATGAACCTGAGTAAAAGTGGGTACTTATCTCCCTATGGAAATTGATTATCTGGCTTTCTAGTTCCTGGGGGAAAATCTTCAGTGTCTTTCTTAATTATCAAAATCTAAAATATGCACACTCTTTCATTCTGAAATCCCACTGTTTTATTTTTTCAGAAATTCCACTTCTATTAATCTATCCTTAAAAACAGCCTGGTTGGTATGGCTGAGTGGTTGAGGGTCGACCTATCAACCAGGAGGTCATGGTTTGATTCCTGGTCAGGGCACATGCCCAGGTGGCAAACTCGATCCCCCCAGTAGGGGACGTGCAGGAGGCAGCCGATTGATGATTCTCTCTCATCATTGACATTTCTGTCCCTTCCTCCTCTGAAATCAATATTTTTTAAAAAGGTTTAAAGATGTTTAATTGATGAGGCATTTGTTTCCCTTCAAACATGGGTGGTCCCAGTTTGGAGTCATTTTGTTTTATTTATAATTGAATGATGATGATTTTCCTAAGACACCAAACTCTTCAAGTTTTCACACTAACCATTTTTGAAAAGAGAGAACTTAAATATCTCCTTCTGAAATCTGAATCAGAAAGCAGCTTTAAAGGAATGATGATGAAATAGAGTGTGAATTTTGTTTCTCTCTTTACTATGTCCTTACTTTTCAGCATAGCTATTAGAAAAATCTTATAGCATAAACCACTCAAAAGAGACTTATTCTAGAAGGAACAGGAGTCTGATATTTGAAGTTCACGTCAGGAAACCCCCGACTCTTCAGTTAGAACCAAGACTTGATTTTTCTGATGATGGGACGTTCTTTCTATTACAGATCTTTCCAAGGCCTTGGTTCTAACAGAAATCGGTCCCAAGCGTGACCCCGCTACTCTGAAACTGTTCCTGAGCAACATGGAGAGGCTACTCCACGCCAAGGCTCACGGGTACGACTTCAGACCCCGGAGCACCTGGGGTCACGGAGGAAGGTGCCAAACACACAGTCTCGCTACAGACTCCCCGGGGACTGAGAGGAAGAAAGATCCTGTGACGGGAACACACACCGCGGTGCCGAGGCCCAGGGCGGCCTCTGGTGCTGCCCTGTCCAGTGTGGGGGCTCACGCAGCAGCTGGTAGGGGACGGACAGGGGACCTTCGTTCCTTTCTGAGCAACTTTGAGAAGCCCAGGAACCGATCGCAGCCACAGCCACCCAACCCGCCAGTCCTGTGGTGCTTAGGCCCCTGCCTAACTGATGTTCTTCCAGTAAACACTTCGGAATATAAATCCGAGTCCCATTGAATCCTCTGCATCTCCCATCCTCACTCTAGGTCTGTGCTGTAGCTATGGCCACATGAGGTGATTTGAACATGTACAGAGTGAACAGTTGAGCTGTTTAGGTGTGCCAGCCGCATGTCCGGTGTGCGACAGGCACAGGTGGCTCGAGCTACCAGAGTGCAGAAGGCACCCGTCGCCGCAGAAAGCTCTGCTGGACAGCACTGCACGGCCCTCTAGACTTTGAGCTTAGAGCTTGTGGGAGAAGCCCGGTGGCTCCTCCTGAACGCCTGGGAGTGCTCACAGCGGGCGTGACTGGGTGAAGTAGGCGTGAGCACGGTGTAAGAGCAGTCTGATTGTGCCCGGTGCCGCTCACACGTGTGTGACTGCTCCTTCCCTCTCCTCCAGGGTCCGAGTGATCGGGAGCTCCACCCTGGCGCTCTGCCTCCTGGCCTCGGGGGCTGCGGACGCCTATTACCAGTTTGGCCTGCACTGCTGGGACCTGGCCGCCGCCACCGTCATCATCAGAGAAGCAGGAGGCATCGTGATGGACACGTCAGGTGGGCCCCTCTGACCCCGGGCTGGCCTCGGTCCCCGGGGATGCGACGCGGAGACTAGCCTGAGTGACCCCTCCAGACCGAGCGTCCCTCACTCCTCGCAGTCTCTGCTGACGGGAGGGCATTGGCAAGCGGTGGTCCCACCCTTCCCGCCCTTCCCCCCTTCCTACTCTGCCGCGAGGCGTGGAAATAGAGCCGAGGGTCAGACCACGGCCAGTAGGAGCAGCACCACCACTTCCCGTTTCCACGCCATTTGACAGTTTTCTAAGCACACAATCCGGTGAGACGGACAGAACGGGCGTCACGCTCCCCAGCTGGCGAAGAGGAGGCTGGTACCCCACAGCCCTGTGGCTCAGCAGCGTACTGCGTGGGTGCCTGTGGGGTTCTAGAATGGATCCGAAAGGTGCCTGTTACTTCCGCTTCAAGGTTATCACATCCCTGGACTGACCCCACTGGGCACATCTGACTCCACTTAGCATCCCTGCCCCTGTTATGCTCAGGCAGACCGCTCGTCTGACGTTCAGGGGTAACCAGTCAGGGGCTGGGTGAGTCCTATTGGATCCCATTCTCTCCTAGCTTTTGAGTCCCGAGCTTGTTGGCACAAATACTGGGGCTCCCTTTTAACTATTGGGTATGTACAGGGGTCTTTTGTCATTTGATTTCTACTTCTTTCTTCTTTCCCCTTTAAAGGCTTTAATTGAGCTACCAGAAAAGTATAAAAGGGAAGAGGTATCAGCCTTAGATGGCGAGGCCAAGCAGACCAGTTTCAGATGAAAAAGGAGTCCGACACTGGATTTAACCACGTGAGCACACGTGTGTGCACGGAGGGTTCCAGCAAGGCCACTAGTCCTGTTCATGCCCCCAGAAGGCACAGGGCTTCACCGTCCCCCCCAGCCACCTGGTCCCCACAGCAGCCATGGGTTGCCAGTCAGAAAGGCCAACTCATGGGTCCCGAGTGCCTCCCGTGCAGCTAGAGACTGAGGGCTGCTCTCTCCTGTCCTGGTCTCACCAATCACTGGACTCTCAGTCCTGAATGTTGGGCCTCAAACTGAATTCTCCCAGCACAGCCTTCAGGACGGCATTGGTCTGTAGCCCCTCCACTGCACTCACTGGGGTGGTGTTGATGCTGAAAGGCGTCCCCCTCTCTCTGACTAGACCAACTATTAGGTCCAGCCTCGAGCACAGCCTGGGGGCTTTGTTTTTCTCGGAATGTGCACGTGTGCCTGTGCTGAGTTGTTATCCAGGACTGTTCTGCCCTCTCCGTAACCCACATGGTCTCTCTCTGTCCTCAGGTGGACCTCTTGACCTCATGTCCTGCAGAGTGGTTGCTGCGGGCACCCGAGAAATGGCTACACTCATAGCTCAGGCCTTACAAACAATTAACTATGGACGGGACGATGAGAAGTGATGAGAAGTGAAAGGGAGCAGAGACGAGAAATGCGCCCCCGGGACTGGCTCTTCCTGGGAATGCTGCAGCGGCAGCCGATCCCTGGGGGGGACCGCCTTGAGCAGCCCGCACTCGCATCAAGTTCCTGCGCTCCTAACCACCCAAAGAGAAGTGTTCTGCTAACGTGTGTGGCTCTCTGGTTAAATCCACGTCTTTCACTGGGATTTGGTGTTTAGCTGGTTTCTTTCTTTAATCTCATGTCACCTTTTTCAGGTTAGTACAGGTCCTTCTATCAGGGCCAAAACCCAAATCTCATGATATACATATTGATAATTCAGTCTTGATTCTCCCCCCACCCAACCCCCCGAATGCAAATCTCAGGTAATATGGCTTTAGAACTGCTGATAAAGCGGACTTGTTCTCAGGCCCCCCACTTCATGGTACTTCAGAATGCAATAAATCCAAATAATGGCACTCTACTTACCTGCTTCCCTTCATAAGTGTCGCCTATTCCCCAATCAACACACAAAATCTGCAGCTGTAGGTGCCTTTAAGACTCTACTGATGGCTATTAGGAGAATAATCCCAAGTGTCAGAAGTATTCTCCTTAGCCAGGGTCCCCATGAATGCACCGGATGAGGTGTCAACCTGTTTTAGCCAAGTAGCTTGCTTGTTGGTATCTTATAATTGAGTTTCTGCAGTGCCAGGGGTGTTGATCCAGGTTGACTCTTTGTTCAGCCAACAAGTAACCTAGTGCCTTTCTATCATCTAAAACCACCTTCACAGGAGAGCTGGGGGCAGCTGTGGCTTTAGCAGTGGACTCAGAAGTGGCTGTCAGAGTTAAGGATAAGTTTCTGATCACGTATTTGTTTGGACTAACTCCAAGCCAAGGAAGAAGGGACGGTCCAAATGTCACCTATCTGCTGGTAAACTTAAACTTCCGCTGGTCGTGTGAATTCAGGGAGGGGACCACTGTCCAGTCTGAGGGATTGTGAAGGGACAGCGGAACAGTAAACACAGCAGGAGCACATTGTTCTTTCATCCTCGCTGTCAAGACAATGAGTTGCCCAAGCATAGAGGCCGTTGACAAAACCTCCACATGTAAAGGAGTGGCCAGAAGTGTTCCTAGGGCTCCCTCCTAAATGTTACCATTTACGAACCCATTGGTTGGTGCAGAGGTGTTAGCATCGTTCAACAAACACTCAAATTCTGCATTATTGCATATTGAAGGACCACCTAAATGTGTGGGGCTGACACAGCCGATGAATGCTCTGCAGTGTCATAGATATTTACACTGGCTGCTCTGGATATATATGGATCATTTTCCCACCCCAGGGTTGGGTTAAATTGAGGCAAGGAAGAGGGGTATGTGGGTTTAGTGTTTTTATAAAAGGGGCTCATGAAACTTCCGCTGGTCGTGTGAATTCAGGGAGGGGACCACTGTCCAGTCTGAGGGATTGTGAAGGGACAGCGGAACAGTAAACACAGCAGGAGCACATTGTTCTTTCATCCTCTGCTGTCAAGACAATGAGTTGCCCAAAACCTCCACATGAAAAGGAGTAGCCAGAAGTGTTCCTAGGGCTCCCTCATAAATGTTACCATTTACGGACCCATTGGGTGGTGCAGAGGTGTTAGCATCGTTCAACAAACAGTCAAATACTGCATTATTACATATTGAAGGACCACCTAAATGTGTGGGGCTGACACAGCCGATGAATGCTCTGCAGTGTCATAGATATTTACACTGGCTGCTCTGGATATATATGGATCATTTTCCCACCCCAGGGTTGGGTTAAATTGAGGCAAGGAAGAGGGGTATGTGGGTTTAGTGTTTTTATAAAAGGGGCTCATGAACAATGTAGGCAGACAGCGGTATTTGGGATTCCAGTTAAATTATTTTTAGGATGAATAAGGGGTCTCTTCCTTCATGTACTTTTTGGTGTGTTTTTTTTTAAATATATTTTATTGATTTTTTACAGAGAGGAGGGGAGAGGAATAGAGAGTTAGAAACATCAATGAGAGAGAAACATCGATCAGCTGCCTCCTGCACACCCCCCACTGGGGATATGCCCGCAACCAAGGTACATGCCCTTGACCGGAATCGAACCTGGGACCCTTGAGTCCGCAGGTCGACGCTCTATCCACTGAGCCAAACCGGTCAGGGCGTACTTTTTGGTTTAACGTGACAAATCCTGTAGTTAGTTAAGCTTCCTGCAGCAGCTGTTACTTGTGAAATCTTAATTATAGTGTTGTTTTCCATGTAGTAATAGAAAGAAAAAGCACATAGCAAATAGGCAGGAGGGATAAAGGGTTCCTATTGGAGAGGAAGATGTTGATCCATGATCTTGGAAGAACAGTCTGTTTCAGGATATCATCTGCTTCAGGGAGGAACCTCACTGGTCAATTTTAACTTTAGATCTCGGGCTGGTATGCAGTTCAAGAGTCTGGAGGAGCTTTTTTCTGCTAACATCTGTGGCCCAAGGTTCAATCCCTGAAGTTTGGCTGCTATCTGGGTAGTGAGGAGAACCTGGTCTTTGTTCCTTCCAACGAGATTCAAGGGCAGTCTTTTTTTTTAAATATATTTTTATAGATTCAGAGAGGAAGGGAGAGGGGGAGAGAGAGAGAGAAACATCCATGATGAGAGAGAACCATGGATCAGCTGCCTCCTGCATGCCCCGCACTGGGGATCAAGCCCACAACCTGGGCATGTGCCCTGACCGGAATTGAACTTGTGACCTCCTGGTTCATAGGTCGACGCTCAACCACTAAGCCATGCTGGCCAGGCAAGGGGCAGTCTTTCTTAGGTGCTATTTCCAGAAGACCCACTCTCCCAGTTCTAAGTTGTGGAAGGTTCAACCTTCTGTAGGAGGATCATGGAAAGCTTCCTTTACCTGATGGAAAGACACTTTGGCATAATGCATTAAAGCTTTAAATATTGAGTCATATCAGAATTTATGAGTGCAGTAGGCACATATGGTTCTTTCAAAGGTATCGGTCTTCCTGTTACTATTTCATAAGGTGATAATTTATACTTTCCCATAGGTGTTGATCTAATTGCCATCAAAAACCAGTGGTAGGAGTTTTGGCCAGGGCAGTCCAGTTGATTCTGTGAACCTAGCTAGCTTTAGTTTTACATCGCCATATGTCTGCTCGACATTACCAGGTGACTGAGGATGGACGGTAAGGATGATGATAATGCCATTGTGTCAGCAGCGCCTTATTTAATTGTTTAGTTATTTATCTGGTGAAATGAGTTCCCCTATCACTGGAGATTTCTCTGGGGATATCCCATAAAGGAAATATTTTCTAAAAGTTTCTCAACCGTGGTTGTGGTGTCAGCCTTTCTGCATGGGACGGCTTCAGTCCATCCTGAGAACATATTGATAACCCATTGCAGAGGCAATTAAATGAAACCCATTTTTAAGTGTTCAGATAGCCCAGTAGGTGGTGGGAATGCTCTATCTAATACCTTAATGGTCTTTCTATTAATGGTCTTTCCATTATGACTTTGACAAATCAGATATTGGTCATAAACCAATTTTTCAACCTTGGAGCAGTCACTCTACCAATATTTTTCATAATTTGGGTCATTTTATCTGTGCCATGATGAGTTGCAGAATATAGAGCTTTTATTCATGGCATTTTCAAGGACTCGGCAAGAACCAGGGGGCTACCTGGGCCCTCAGGGAGTCTTCATTTAATATTAAATTTGCACACTTGTTGGTGCTAGCACTGTTCCAGCCCAGGTGCCTGATTTTGTTTTTTATATAAATTATAAATAGTTTGGGTAGAATCAATCTTACGGAATTCATTCCAGTTCATATTGGGACCATCTTAGTGCTGGCTGATTTACCAGGGAAGTCTGCTAAAGCATTTCCTTGATACTCAGGTTCTATCTGCTTCAGTTTTAATGATTACAGTTCACTTAGGTGATAGGATGTCAGAGAACAATTCCTTTACTTGGAATCCATTGATGATTGGATTTCCAGTAGAAGTGAGGCACTCTTTCTATTTCTATAACATATCAAAGGCATATGTGCTATTAGTATAAATGTTTACTGATTTCCCTTGGGATAGCTGACAAGCCTGAGCAAGAGCATGTAGTTCTGGTTGAGTAGACTTAAGTTGGGGAAAGATTCTAATAGTTCATATGAAGTTGTCACAGCACATCCTGCTTGATACTTCCCTTCTACATTCTTAGCATAGGACCCATCAACAATGCGTATCAAATCTGGGTGTTCTAACGGTGTGTCCTGTGAGTGCGAGGGATCAACCACTGTGACACCACACCTGTACAGTCATAACGATCTATGCCATCGTCAGGCAAGGGTAGTACGGTTACAGGGTTGAGCAAGTTGCAGTACTTAACATGGAGGTTAAAGATGAAAGGAGAAGGATCTTAGAAGACGTTAGTTTACTTGCTGAAAAATGTCAAGTCTGATCAGAGTTTAATAGACTCTTAATAGCATGAGGTACATGTAAGTACAAGTCATATTCAATACCCACCTGACTGCCCACCAACTGCTGCAGAAGAAAGCACTGGCTTCAGGGACAACACGCCCGATTCGAACGATTCCAACGCAAGCTTCCTCCTGCCCGGCCTCAGGTGCCGCCCTGGACACTGCGGGCGCCGCCCTCCCAAGGTCGTTGAGGGGACTCGGTGTATGTGAGAGCCGACTGCCCGTGATGCTCCGTGTGCACCAGCTCACCCCCAGCTTCCAAAACTATCAGAGCTGCCCTTGGACGACTTTAAAGCAGGATCACATGCGTGCCCAGCAGCAAGTCATGGCTCCAAGTGCAGGGCACGTTCAGTTCGCTTTGTTAAATGGGTGCTCAACAGCTGCTTAATGAATAGAGCCAATTGGACCAGCTAGAGATTAGATACATTTTTTCTGAATTCTGTTTATGTGAAAATATGACATTAAAAGAATATTTCGTTTCCCCATTAATCCCAGCAGACTGGTACCTACTCCTCCTCAGTCTTTGTCACTAGAAAGTGCTCCAGCTCCAGCAGCCCTACTTCTAGAGCTCTGAATGGGGCAGCATTCTGCCTAAAAGAATAATCAGCAATTTGGTGAAGCCTGAACATAAATGTTTATACTCTCATTTAAGAAATACATACATTGCCAGGCCAGTGTGGCTCAGTGTTGAGCATCAACCTATGAACCAGGAGGTAACAGTTTGATCCCCAGTGTGCAGGAGGCCGCCAATCAATGATTTTTCTCTCATCATTGGTGTTTCTATCTCTCTCACTGAAATTAAGCAAAATATATTTAAAAATCCATACCATTTATATTAAAAGTGCCATTAAACAAAATTTATACAGACAAAGCAATAAAATGACAAATTGACGAGCTATTTCTAGTGAAAGAAAACCCAGTCTCCTCAAAGATGACAGTGACTTGCCTTTGGAACTAGTCAGTAGCTTGGAAAGACCATGAGGACAGAGTGCTGGGGAGGGTTGGGGTTTCCCCCAGGG